CTTTCAACTCGGACCGATAATTGCTCTTTTTGCAATAGCATGTATTCTCATAGTTTCAATGACATTTGTATTTACGAGATTAGTTCGAAATTATTCAGTAAGCAGCAGAAGTTTTATAGACTGAATTGAAAAGTTTTGTGGGATAGGATTCAGAAATTGAGCAATTAGATTTACTAGAGATTTTGCCCAACCTGTTGGGCTTATTACTACTTCTATTTATCTAGTTCAGTGAATTTCCGGCTCTAACTCTCTCTGAGTATGAGAAAGTTCAGTAATTGCTATTCTCATAGGAGTAGTAATTAGCACTTTAAATGCATTTTCATTCAAGTGAGCTGAGCTTCTACAACGCTTCTTGAGTATTGCTATTTTCATAACTATGACTTTTGTCTCAACTTTCGGGATCATTTCTTTTTTTACAGCTCAAAACGGAAATAATGAACAAGCTCAATCTCCTCAAAATGGAATAAATAAATTAAGTGGATGAACTGCCCTCCTTTCTGGACTACCTTCTATTTTCTTTATGTATGACGGATTCTATTCAGTACTTTCTCTAAGAGACAAATCAAAGAGAAAAATGTCATTCTCTCGAATAATCTTTTTCTCTATGTGTGTAGTCACCTTACTTTATTGCTCACTGATCTCAGTCTCTCTATTGGGTGACCAAAAAACAGGAGACTTTCTACAATTTCACCATCTAAGAACAGATAAAAATTGAAGAGATGTCTTAACTATTCTCGTAATGTTGACCTTTCTATCTAGTTTGAATGTCTCTACAATTTGTGGTCAGAACCAATTACTGAATTTGCACAATAAATACAATTTTTTGAAATTTCAAAGAATAAGAACTTTAATTCTAAATAGGGGAAACGATTTGAAAAAAGCTGGATTAGAAAATCGATTGAGTGTCTGACTGTTTTTACTCAAGCGAATGGTAGTAATCTCCCTCTTAATTTCTCTAATCGCACAATTACACTATTGAATATCTTCGAAATCGGAAAATCTATTCTGAAGTCTAAATGATGTACTTGCAGAACTCAATTCTCTCATAATTTTTAGTATTTTAGGAGTAGTAGTTTGAATTGCTAGAAATAAGGAAAAAAAGACTTTAATTAAATTCTGTTATTACATCTCTTCACTAAGCATTCTCGTAGGATTTCTATATTACTGAATAAATAACATTATTTCGTTTACTCAAACGCACTCAATGATTTATTTATTAAAGCTATCTTGTTTGGTAATTCTGCTATCTTCTCCTGCCCATTCCTGAATGAAAACTCAGTGAAATACATTATTAAAAAGAAGTTATATACAAGAGACTAGATTGCCTCTCATTCTCTCTAGGAGTTTTAATTTAAGATTTCTAGGATCTCCCCTACATTACGCTTACGGAGCTCACGCGCCTCTCTAATCTAAAAAACTAAAATAAAAGAGATATGTCATATCAACCTAAACATCCTTTTGATTCAGCGAGAAAACGAATGATTACTAGACAACAATGTTCAGACTTAATCTCTTATGGTCAAATTATTACTAAATTAAGTTGCGCAAGAGCAACTCAAATATATTTAGAAAAATTAATTACACTATCTAAAAAGGACAATTTAAATACTAGGAGAAAAGCATATTCCATTTTGCTGCGAACTAAAAAATTCACTAGACAAGAATTAATAAAAAAACTTTTTGAAGAATTAGCTAAAAAATATCAAACAAGAAAAGGAGGTTATACTAGATTACTAAAAACCTCTAATGGTCGCTTTTTACTCCAACTAGTGTAAAACGTCTAAAGTACTTAAGTAAGATAAGGCCATAAGGCCTTATCTTTTTTTCTTTTAAGGCCTAGCTAATTACTACTAAATGTTGTGACTATCTTTTCCAACTTAAATTCCATGTTCTCCTAAAATTCCTACAAGTTCCCCAGCTAATTTATCTTCATCTTCTCCCTCAATCTGAAAAACAACTATTGATTGAGAAGAAGCACCTAGTGTTAGAAGATTAATAATAGATTTAGCATTAACTACTTTGCCGTTATATTCTACTTTTACACTAGATTTATATTTTGAGAGAGACTGTACTAATTTAGAAGCGGGTCTAGCATGTAATCCAACTTTATCTTGAATAGTATATTCTACTGTTTTCACTCTCTAATAAAATTTACGCCTCATATCAGCTCTCTTCCTTTTTTCTTTTCGCTTTAGCGCAGGTCGTAAGTGAAATAAGTATTTCATAGCACTTCTTTTAACCTCAATAGAGAGTCGTTTAAACTCTAAAAGAGCTTGCTCAATATTATTTTCCTTCACTTTTATAACAGGCAAACTCTATAACTCCTTCTGAGGCTTATTTACCCTAGGTTTCAATCTCTTCAGCTTTAATGGTAAAGATTCGGGAGATCTCAAATAAGAAAGATAAGCTCTTCTAGATCGACCCTCTCTTACTCTTTCAATTTTCTGAACTAGTGGAGAATGAATAAAAAAAGACTTTTCCACTCAATAATTTCTAAATTTTTCCCGAAGAAAAATATTCTCTCCCAATAAACTACCTCTTTTTCGCATAAGAATTCCCTGAAATTTCTGCAATCTCTCCTTCTTTTTATCATCAATTAATTTCTCATAAACAGCAACTATATCTCCAGCTTTCAAAGTAGAAAAAATTTCACTCTTAGTTCCGTCTCCCTGAAGAGTATAAAAATGTTTTTTAAGCTCTAGAAGTTGCATCCCCGTCTATTTATCTTTTTTCTTCTTACGCTTCCTCCCTGAAGACTCGTTTAGTAACTTTTCATGTTTTTCTAATAGTCTAGCAGAATCCTGCAATTCTCATCTATCTAACGAGATTAAAGAATCGTATTCTAATCTTTTATGTAGCGGAATATCAGGAATCAATCTCCTTAACATACGATTCAACGCCTTATTAATTCGACAACCTAAAAGTAAATAGTGAAGTAATTCTTCCCTATCAATTACTAAAGAGTCAGATGTAGGTAAATAAGCTCCTATTTCTCTCCTATTAACTAAAATATCCTTTCTATATTTCTCATGTTCATCTCTATTTTTAATAAGAGATTTTCCCTCTCGATCTACTCTGAGTGGAAAACAAGTAGTTGATCATCATTCACTAATACTTGATTGAGTCTCTAAATTATCCTCTGAATACACAACTATAGGAAAATAAGGTTCACTGTAATACCCTTTCTCTGCAAGAGAACACTGAATAGAAAGTTTAAAACTACTAGAGATGATTTAATCTAGCTTGAGCTTTTATTAAAGAGATCAAATTTTTAGTAGGCTGAGCTCCCTTAGAAATTCACTCTTCAAATAAGACTGCATTCATTCTAAAATAACTTCGCTTAGGATCATAAACTCCTAAATTAGCAAGTTCCGCAGAATCTCGTCCTCGCTTTGATTCTATAGCCACAATCCGAAAAACAGGATCATGTATTCTGCCCATTCTTTTCAGCCTCAGTCTTACCATTCCCCCTTTAAGGCTTTGTCTCAATTAAAGGTAACTCAGGCTCTCTAAATGAGCTTAATTGAAGCAGACTTGCCCCTTGTCTCTCGAGTTTCGAAATTCATTCATCATCATATTTGAAACTAGTTTCATTATCAAATTCCTTCACTTTTCAAGAAGTCAAAAGTTCTAATTTAGAATCCTTATCAATTGAAAACATAGGCATAATCTCCAACTTTTTGTTTAAAAAAGTATGAATATTCTTAGCTCCTGTTATTGTGGGAAAAACTTTATTTTTAAACCTTATCTCCTCTGGATGGACTAATTTATAGTTCACTTTAGACTTTGGATGAGTGAATACCTTTTGGTTATAACTGTCTATTAAATCATGAAAATCTGAATCTGAGAGAGAAGACAGGACCTGCTTAATCTGAGATTTTCAACTAGGATAATCAATAGTTGAACTACTTTCCGAAATAGGCTCAGGCAATTGTAATTCCGATCTACGAGACTTTAACTCTAACAGGATTGAATAAACTAACTCTCAATTAGTTAAAAGTAAATACTTATTCTCCTCCTTTGAGGTGGCCAATTCCCCCCAATTTTCATGGTATTCACTAAGAGAATGGTAATTACAAGGTAAAGGAGGAACTTTTCCAGAAATAGCTGAAAAAGAAAAACTTCTATGTTTCAAAAAAGGAGCATAAAGTCTAGGAGAGACTAGCACTCCATCCTTAGTAATTTCACTAACTTTAGCTAATATTAAGTGATCAAAATTTAAGAATCTATAGTAAGCCACTGAAGTCTACAAAATTTCTAGAATAGTAATCTTATAACTCTTTTTTAATCCCTCCACCATATATGTCCCTCCAGCAGGTTTTCCCAATATAGTTTTCGCTATTGGTGATTCATTTGAGATTTTTGAAAGAGCTGGATTTGCATCTAAACTTCCAAGAATTTCAACAACATATTCTTGATTATTCAGAGAATGATGAATTCTCACTTTAGAACCTATTTCCACTACTTTTCCACTACCCTTAATCTCTTTTCTAGAGTTAGAGCTAATCAATGAATAATTTTTCAGAATTGCTTCAAGTTCTTGTATCCTCTTCTCCAACTGAGCTTGTCTATCCTTAGCACTATCATAGTCAGCATTTTCAGAAAGGTCTCCTAAGCTTCTAGCCTGCTTAAGCTCTTCAAGTACTAAAGGTCTCTGAACATCCACTAAATTAGAAAGCTGAGCACGTAACTCAGCCAATTTCTCCTCAGTTAAATAGTTAGTTCCTCTCTCATTACTCACTTTAAGGTTACTAATGGCCAACCTTTAATTTTAAACTAAAATTAAGCTTTAAACTCTTCAACACTTGTACTTACCAGCCCACTTTAAAAAACGCGAATTCTATGTCTTAACTCTATTTCCATTAGAGATAACTCTTTGACTAACCCACTCTATTACACTGAAATCTATTTATAGAGCTCATATTTCTTTCAAAGTACTGAATATAAGGCAAAAAGTTCGAGAACAAGTAGATTTTCCCCCTTATGGGGGCAAAAGCGGAATGGTGCTTTCTGTAGCGCCCATCTATAATCTCTTAAGCTCTCAGAATTTACTAGAAAGGGCACACATTATCTTATTATGTCCTAGATCACCCAAGTTTACTCAAACAAGAGCTAGAGAATTAGAAGAATTATCACTTGAAAAGCCTTTAGTCTTCATTTGTGGTCACTACGAAGGCATAGATGAGAGAGTACGTCACTTCATCTCAGAAGCTATCTCCATCGGGGATTATATTCTCTCATCAGGTACTCTCGCGACAGCAGTCCTCATAGAAAGCATTGTCAGACTAATACCGAATGTACTTAACTCCGAAAGTTTAGAATCAGAAAGTTTTAATACATCAGAAACTATAGAAGATCTAGACTTTCCTGTCTATGCTCCTCCAAAAAATTTTCTAGGATACAAAGTCCCTCAAATCTTACTCTCTGGACATCACTCAAAAATAGCAAGCCATCGAGAAAAATCTAAAGACAAATATAAAAATCAATAGATTTGATACTCTTTAAAGCCTTCTTCTTTCTTCCTAAGTGAGCTAGACGCTGCGTATACCTAGGAGCTATTATCTCTGGAGGAGTAATGATTAAAAAATTCGCAAATAACAATTTAAAGTTCCTCTTAGATGACTCAAATGAACAACAAGCTGAACAAAAAGAGATAAAAAAATAGAGTAAGTTAAGGGAGCGAAAGCTCCCTTCTTCTTAACTCTTTACCTCAGTCTTAGTAGAGTCAATTTCTCCTACTTTATACCCTGCCTGAATCAATTTTTCCCTAATTTCCGATAGTGCTTTCCTCCCTAAATTTCTAAAAGAAGAAAGTTCCTCAAATCGAGCTATTAACTCAGAAATTGTATTAATTCCCTTATTTTTAAGAATATTATAGTTACGCTGACCTAAATCCAATGTCTCAATAGAAGTTGCTGCAATAGTTCCTATCTTAGTAGAATCTTCCTTCGCAATTATATGTCAATCCCTAGGTTTCGTATCTACTTTATAAATATTTACTTTTTGTTCAGAAACCTTAGCGAAAATATTTACAAGAATTTTAGAGGCATATCAAATAGCTTCTAACGCACTAATAGAGCCATTTGTTGAAACACTTAATTTCAATCTATCACTAATTCCTAATTTCGTAGTCTTCTCCTCATTAACTTTTCACTCCACCATTAGTACTGGGGAGAATATAGCATCAATTGGTATTAGCGAAAGAGTACTTATTAACTCTCTACTTTCACTTGAACTCTTATATCCTCTATCTATAGTGCAAAATAAATCTACCTCAAATCCAGCACCGTCAGAGGTTACTTCACAAATTCGTAATTCAGGATTAACTATCTCTATTCCGGGAAAACACTCTATATCCTTTGCATAAACAGTTCCCTCACTATTTTTTCTTATTTTCAAATAGGGTCATTTTTCAATAGGTTCATTTTTTAATTCCTCAAAATTAACTATTTTTTCATCTGCTTTTAAAACTATTTTTCGAACTGTCAATATCAATTGAGTTACATCTTCCGCAACTCCCTTAATTGCGGAAAATTCATGAGGCAATGAAGAGACTCTTATTGCGAAAATCGCAGGAGAAGGAATAGAGCTCAAGAGAAGTCGTCTCATAGTATTTCCAAGAGTATTCCCAAACCCCCTTTCTAGGGGAGCAAAAATTACAGTTGCTGAAGTATCGCTAGAATCTACTACTTCAGTCTCTATCTGAAAGTCCATAAATCGCTCTAATACATCTACTTTTATTTGGTTAGTCATATTTTCTATCTAACGAGGTTTCTTGCTGGGTGTACATCCATTATGCTGTAGAGGTGTCTTATCTGCTACTTCCGTAATTTCAAAACCCAGTCCAACTATTGTTCTGAAAGCTATTTCCTTTCCTCTTCCTATTCCCTTAACATGAACTGACAAAGACGATACTCCTATTTCTTTAGCTTCTTTTCCTATCTTAGTTGCAACTAAATTCGCAACATACGAAGTAGATTTTTTAGTTCCCTTATATCCTAACGTTCCAGAACTTTCCTGAAGTACTACATTTCCCTCATTATCAGTTAAAGAGATAATAATGTTATTAATCGAACTATTTATATGCATTATCCCACTTGATAAAGAGATTTTTTTCTTTTTCTGAGTACTCTTCTTCTCCACTACCACTTTATCTATTTCTATTTCTTACCTTCAATCTTCTTATTGGCTACTGTCTTTCTCGGCCCTTTTCTAGTTCTAGCATTTGTTCTTGTTCTCTGACCATGAACTGGCAAACTCCTCCGATGTCTTAATCCCACATAAGAGGCAATTTCCTTAAGATTAGTTAAATCATCACTCACTTTTTTACGCAAATCACCCTCTAATAAGAGTCTCTCTCTTAACAACTTTTCTGCAGAATCTCTCTCTTGAGTGGACTGCAATTTCACTATTGCTTGAGTAAGAGAAGCAATTTCTTCAGCTTGTAATGTATATACTCTCCTAGTCTTAAAACTCTCTACTTTTTCTCTTTCTTGTTCAGTAAGTTTTAAATATGGCTGAATCTTATTTAAAGTTCAGTATTGAATTATCTTCTCTGAAGTAGTTCTTCCAATTCCATAAATTCTAGTTAAAGCTATAAACAGCTCCTTTTTGTCAGGAAGTATAACTCCCAATATTCTAGCCAACTACTTAGTTGACTAGTATTGGGAAATCTCTACTAACTGACTATCTAACTCTATTCCAAATGTATTACTTCTACTTATTTTTAGCAAAACTCTTCAATTTTAATGATAAACTCTGAAACTAAATTATTTTTGACGTTGCTTATGTTTTGCGATCTTACAAATCACCCTAATTCTGTTCTTTCTCCTAATTATCTTACAGTGATCACAAATTTTCTTAACAGAAGCTCTTACTTTCATTCTTCTACTCTACCTTCTTTTCTGGGAGTATTCTCTCTATAATTTTTCCCTTATTTAGATCGTAGAGATCCATCTCTACTATTACAACATCTCCCTCTAAAAGATAAGAGCTATATCGTCTCAACTTCTTAGCTAAATGACAATCTATTATTTTCTTATTTACTAACTCTACTTTTATATACTCGGAAGTCACCATTTTCACTATTTTTCCCTCTAGTGAGAATTTTTCAGACTCAATAGACATTCTCTATACTTTCTTAATTAATTCTCAAGTTTCTCTCATTTCCCTAAACTCTGCAGGACTAGCTGTTAAAACTTCTACTCCATCTTCATGAATAGCAACAGTATGCTCATAATGAAGAGTCATTGCATTTTTATCTTTTGCGTAAACACCTAAGTCTCCTTCTTTTTGAATTCAACTCCCATCTTTTTGTTCAATTATCATAGGCTCAATACAAATAGTTGAACGATTCGGAAGATTTACTCCCTCTACTTTTCTCATTCCAAAATTATGAATTCTCGGAAAATCGTGCAACTTCTTCCCAATTCCATGGCCTGTAAATTTTTCCAAAAGCGAGTATTTTTTAGGAAAATATTTGTTGAAGAATGTCTCAATCCGATATGTAATCGAACCTGAAGTATCTCCCGCTTTTAATTCTGAAATTGCCTCATAAAAAAGAGCTTTGGTTAGTTGCTCTAAGTACTTATACTCTTCAATTTTCTTCGTTCTTCCTTTTTTCAATGACTTATCATCTGCTTTTTCGGGCTTTTCGAAAAACATATTGAACGCGCCGTCTATGTTAAGCCCTAAATAACTAAAACCTAAATCTATTGTTAATTTATCTCCTTCCCTTATTACCTCTTCAGAAGCGACACCATGTACTACACAATCATTAAGTGAGAGGCACATAATAGAGGGAAAATCTCCACTAGCATCAAATGAGGATTGAACACCGTATTTGTCAAACTGAGACCTAGTCATTGACTCAACTGCCTTAAGAGTCATTCCGATCTTGACAGTTTCTAATAAATGATTCCTAATGGCTTGTCAAATTAATCCCCCAACCCTCATAATTTGGAGTTCCTCAATTGTTTTCTGTGTAACAACCCCAACACTTAAATTAAGTTTCAACTAACTTAAAACAAGTTTGCAGAAGGAAATGTAAAGTTCCTCTGAAGTCGAACTACTATTTAAAGTTATTGAGCGAACATTTTTAGAGTTAAAATACTCCCACACAGGGGCAGTCAAAGAGTCATGTTGAGCTATTCTTTTTTTAATAGTTTCTGCTTCAAAATCATCTTTACGTTTTAACAACCTAGATCCATCTTTAGGACATTTTCCATCTTTTGGGAAATTAGAAAGAGCGCTAAAAATATGCTCTTGAGCTTCACATAAATATCTATTACTCAATCGAAGAGAAATTTGAGTCTCGCTTAATCCCTCTAGTTTTACTGCAATTAACTCATTTTCATTTGCTCAACTTTCTACAGTTTTAGCCTGACCAATCGTTCTAGGATAACCATCTAAAACTATATAAGATGAGCTATTCCCGCTATTGAAAGCTTCCTCTTTTAACTGATTTAATTCTTGAATCATATACTTATCCACAATCTCATCAGAGAGATATCCCCCTTTATTTACTGCTTCTAATTCTTTATTTCCTTCTTTAGATTTATTAATTAGATTCCTAAATATTTTTCCAGCAGATAATACATAAAAATTCTTTCGCTCTCTAAGTAATTCAGAAAGAGTACCTTTACCGGATCCCGGGGGAGCTAATAAAACTATTAAAACTAGTGATTGCAGACTTAATTAAAAGTAGAGTATCTCACTCTTTTAAGGTTATCACAATAGATAGGGAGAAGCTTTAGTATTAATGGAATATAATCGCTCCTCAAGGGAGTTCAGCTCTAACTCTTGTTCAGCTTTATATTTAGTGATTATATGAGTAGATACAAGTTCCTCATAAACATTTAAAGCAGTAGATACTAGTAAAAGCATTCCAGTACCTCCAAATGCAATTTGGGAAGGCATTCCTGTTCAGATATTTAATAAATTAGGCATAATAGTAACTAAACCTAGCATCGGAGCTCCTAGTCAGTTAATTCGATTCAATACTGTTTTTATGTAATTGTGAGTCTCTTGACCAATCATTATTCCTGGAATAAATTGAGCTGATTTCTGAAAGGACCTACACATTTCATCTGTATTGAACTGAACTTGACAATAAAGAAAGGAAAATAGAACGATTAGAGAAAAATACAATAACAACCCTGTTGAGCTTCCAAACGAAATTCAATCTTGAATAAATGCATTAAAAGCTGGGGAGGCTGATTTGCTCAACTCAGCAATACCGACAGGGAGAATCATTATTGAACCGGAAAAAACTACTGGCATAATACCTACAGGCATTAACTTAATGGGTAAGTAACCTAATTTACGCTTATCTAGAATTAATCCAGCTCCTATTTGCTGAATTGGAAGCCGTCTCACCGAACCGTTAATGAAAACCATTAATGCTATTACCATAATATAGAAAAAAATGTAGATTACAAATTTAAAAATATTCATGAGCAATTTAATATTTTCAGTACCTCCCTCAAATGACGCTAAGTATTTGTAAGAGTTGTAGAAATTCTCAGGTAAGCCTGAAATAATTCCTGAAACAATCAAGAGGGAGATCCCATTACCTAGCCCTTTTTTAGAAATTAAATCAGAGAGGAACAAAGAAATATAAGTTCCGGACACAAATACTAATACCATTAAGGCTTGTTGTAAAAAAGGAAGTTTTCCAAAAGTAACAAAGGGAGAAGCTCCTGCTGGAAGTGAAGGGGATCCTTCTTCTGCTACTTTTTCAAGTGTAGGATCTACCTCCTCTGGAGTCCATAAATATTGAAAACTTACTCCCTCATTATTTAGTAAGTAAAGAGTACCTAAGGAAGTAATTACAGCAAATGGAAAAGTTAATAGTCTAGTATATAACTCCAATTTGACTCGACCTAATTCACCTGCTTTTCTCAATTCATTGAGTTTTTTAACTAAATCATTGGACATCAGTTGAATAATAATTTGAGCAGTAATATAAGGGGAAATCCCAACTGAAAAAATACTTGCTCGTCTAAATCCACCTCCTCCAAATAAATTCAATAATTGAGCTAACCCAGAAAGAGAAGCAGTATTTTGTTTAACAATTAGCGGTGCTGTTATATGGGAGCCTACTTGGAACAAAAAAAGAATTGAGCAAGTAGCCAAAAGAGAAATAACAGTACCTCTATTTTTAGCGAAAAAAGAGAGAGGGGCTAAACGCCCCTCTCTTCTCTTAAACGCTAACTGAATGGGCTCAATCTTAACACTCTATAAGCATATTTGGCTCTAATTTAATTAATTTACTTCCACTTTGCCTAGCCCACTCAAACACCCCCTTAGAAAAACTATGAGCAGAAATAGTGACTCCCTGAAGCGAGCACTGATTTCCTACTATTTTTATTTTTTTATCCTTAGATTTCAATAATCTAATTTCCCTCATATTTCAGACATTAAATTCCTTAATTTCAGGAAAAAACTCTAATCTTTTAAGAGGTATTACTTTAACTGGTGTTTTAAAAGCACTGTGATTAAATCCATATTTACCTATTTTTCTAAATAAGGGCATCTGACCCCCTTCAAATCCTAATCGAACTGTTCCGGATTTACGAGCATTCTGACCTTTAGTCCCTCGAGTAGACCTTCCTCCAATTCCGCTCCCAAACCCTCTACCTACTCTTTTTTTTCGCTGACCTCTAGACCCTTTAGTATATTTGAGAGTATGTAATTCCATTAAACTTCCAGAGATTCTGATTCTACAACTTTTTCAACAATTTTAGGAGGTAAATGAAATAACTCTTCAAAAGTCTTATCTCTCAACTTTGCTATCTGCTTAGGAGACTTTTGAGACTTTAATGCATGAAAAGTAGCTCGCACCATATTCACAGGATTATTAGCCCCCAAATTTTTAGAATACAAATCTTTATAACCAGCTAATAATAGTAATTTTTTAACAGGTCCTCCAGCTATAATTCCAGTGCCCTTACGAGCCGGCTTCAACAACACTTTAGAAGCATTATGCTTTCCTAAAAACTCATGATAAATAGTACCTCTACTGTTCATAGGAACTTTCACTGCATTTTTTACTGCTTTTCGAGCAGCCTTGCGAAAAGCAGTAGAATACTCTTTTGACTTACCAATAGCAAATCCTATTTTCCCTTTTTTATTCCCAGAAGCTACAAGCACTCACACTCGACTTTGCCGACCCCCCCTAGTAGTTTTAGAAACTCTCTTAACCTTAATAACCTTTTCCTCAAAATCATTAAATTGAAGACTTAATAATTTCTTCTCATCCTCTTTTTTTTGATCACCTTCTTTTAAAAAACGAGATCCTCCCGGAATATTCTCTCCCTTCTTTTTTTCATTTTCCTTAACTTTCTGCTTGTAATCATATAAAAGTACTGTTTTCTTAGAGTCTAATTTAGCAGTCACTATATTACTATTCCATTTTCAATTAATTTTTCTCGCACTTTCTGAATAACACCGCAATAGCTATGATATCCCCTGTCCATACTTAGTCTATTAATTTTACGTTCACTTAACTTCTCTAATAAAGAGCATACTATTTTTTCTAAATTCTCTTGACCTCCTCTCTTAATTCCTAACTGAAGTGAAGAAGCTGAAAATAACACTCTTCCATCTCTCGGAGACTTCACTAACAAATATAAATGAAGATTTGTTTTCTTCACTCTGAGAATATGCTTTCTCCCCTCTTTAGCCTTAGAAAGAGATCTTGTCGCTCTCCGATCTCTACGTGCTTGAATCTCACTTAAACTATCTTTAGACAAACCTTTTTACTTTATTTTTTAGTTCCCTCTGAACTCTTTCCCTGTTTTCGAAGAACTACCTCACCTTCTATTCGAATACCTTTCCCCTTATAAGGCTCTACAGGTCGCTGTTTCTTAATCAAAGCAGTAAACTCTCCTAACAACTCCTTATTATGAGAGCTCAATGTAATCTCCTTTCCTGAGGAAGGAATTTCCAATTTAATATCCTTAGGTATTTTCAATAACTTTTCCCTAGAATAACCAAGCGAAAGGGAAAGATCTTCTCTCTTCTGAAAAGCTTTATATCCTACCCCCTCAATTATTAACTTCTTACTAAACCCCTTAGTTAGTCCAATAATCGCTCCTAAACTGAGTGAATTTAATGTCCCCTGCATCATATTTGAAAATTTCGAACTATTTTTTCTCTCAAATGTCAAAATAGAATTTTCCAATTTAACACTTACAACTTGAGAGTCATATTCTATCCTTCTATTTTTCTCCCCCTTTTTAAAAAGTAAATATGAATCAGAAAGTTCTAGCTCTAATCCCGGAGGAAGTTCTAACTTTCTATTCCCAATACGAGACATAATATCTATCTAGATTATCAAATATAAGCTAATATAACTCCTCCCAATTTTCGTTTCCGAGCCTCTTTCTCACAAAGAACTCCCTGAGAAGTACTTACAATCACTGTTGCTAATCCCGACATAACTATAGGAAGTTTTCTTCAACCAGCACTTACAAATCTACTAGGAGTAGTAATTTTCCTAAGACCTGTAATAGAAGGAACTCCATCCTTATACTTCAAAAATACAGTTGTTCTACGTTTATTATTCTCAACCTTAATTACAACCCCTTTAATATAACCTTCCTTCTCCATAACTCTCAATATTTCCTCCAATAGTTTAGAAGATCAAAAAGATACTTCCTTGCGTTTAACACAACTTCCTAACTTAAGCTGATTTAGTCCATCAGCAACTAAATCTGTTATCATGAAGCCTTTTTAACTCCAGGAATATATCCCCAACTAGCTAATTCTCTAAAACAAAGTCTACAAAGCATATAATCTCGAAAAACAGCTCTAGCTCTTCCGCAGCGCCCACACCTAGTATATGCTCTACATTTAAATTTTGGAATCTTCTGTTGTTTATAAAT